GCATCCCAGCACCCTTTGCTGAAGAGGCAGTCCCGACCCCATTGTATAGGCTTGGAGCCCTTGTAGAAGATCAAATGGCAGTAAGTGTGTGGGTTGATTTCTGGGTGCACTTTTCTATTCCATTGATCAGTGTCTCTGTTTTTATACCAGTACCATGCTGTTTTGGTTATTATAGCTTTGTAGTATAGTTTAAAGTCAGGTAGTGTTATGCCTCCAGCTGTATTTTTTTTGCTCAGCATTGCTTTGGCTATTCATGGTCTTTTGTTATTCCAAATAAATGTTTGTATAGTTCTTTCCATTTCTGAGAGAAATGTCATTGGAATTTTGATGGGGATTGCATTGAATTTGTATATCACTTTGGGTAGTATGGCCATTTTCACTATGTTGATTCTTCCAATCCAAGAGCATTTCACCAATTTTGTTGAAAGCCAACTTCCTCTCACCTCAGTAGTTGAAGATTTATTATCCAAAGGGGTAGTCAACTTTTTTCTATATTAGGGAAAGGGGAAATAGTGGCAGAAGCTGTCGCCATTTGTGCTGATTCATCATACTTCCAGCATTGTTGAAAATGAAGAAACCTCAGCTACCTCTGCTATAGTTGATTTTCCCTTAAGATAATGGGAAGTTGTTTCCTTTCCTGTCCCAGTAGCATTAAATCTTTGTGTTGTTGCAGACTTTGGTACAGGAGCTGTTGTATCTCCAAATGCAGTTGTACCATTTGATTCTGCTTGAGTGGTCTCAGTAGGAAAATTTGGTTTAAAGTCAGCAATGGTAGATATTATATTTACTGGTGGAACAATTGTCTCCCTTGGTGTTGAAGGAAGTTTATTTGTGGCTACTGTGGACATAGGGGTGGTTTTTAGCATTGAGGTGATAAGTTTATACTCAGGCATACTGGCTACAGATGTGGTTCCAGAAACTGTGGAGAAATTAGCAAACCATGGAGATGTCAATTTGGATAGAGTTGTTGTATATCTGGCTGTAGTAGCATCAGCAGTAGTGGTAGCCTCACTCCTTGTGGATGCTTCTGGTGGATGATAATATTAGTAGTTGTGGATGTATTAGTAGTATTCCCATGGAATATTGACATGACATTTTCATTGGACACAAATGTAAGTGTGGTGGTTGTATTCATAGATGTCAGCAGGGTCTGGTGTGGCCTGGAAGTCCAAGTGGTCTCATTGGTGGATAATAGATGGGCAGCTTCATCAGTTATAGATATGGGACCTGACCTAGTGGAAATCAAAGTAAGCATGTGTTCATCAGCTGGGTGTGTATTCTGGGTGTATACTGGTTGTGTGATTGTGGGGGAGAGTATAGTTTCAGCCACTGTAGGTGCAAATGTAATTCCAGGACTTAAGGCTGTATGTGCAGTCTCAGCATCAACAACTGTCTGTACACTCTGAGTTCCAGGGAGTGGAGATGTTCTTATGAAAAAAAGTGCCATGGAAGAGGTCCCTTTTGGCCTGGAGGTAGTTATGGCATCCTCCACTCTGGGTGAAGAGACACCCTGAAAATTTGTAGATGTCAATTCTGTTTCAGCTGTTCTTAGGGCAGGCATGATCTCAATAGGCCTAGTTGGGAGCGTCACTGAATGAACTGTACATGCTATTTCTGTATCAGTTTTTGCCAATGTAGATGCCATCTGATTTCTAGGAAATACAGAATCCACTGGAGCAGCTGTAGAGATGAGCACAGACTTGGGTGGGAATGCCAATGTAGTCCCAGCATGGCTAGTTGTAGCTGATGTTTTTTCCATTGTGGACCAAGGTACAGTCCCAGCAGCTGTAGATGCAAGAAACTCCCGGCCAGCTGTGGAGACAGGGAGTGTCCCAATATCTGTGGATTTGTCTTTAGACCAAGATGTTGTAGACATGGATGTTAACTTAACAGTTGAGAATAGAGATGTCTTCATCACAACCGACTGAGATTCAATTGCTGAAGTTTTGGATACAATTGAACCAGATGCAGATAAGAAATTAGTAGCTGTAGTTGGATGAAAGGTCTTAGTAGCCATGTCTTCAGCCATTTTCGTTATCCTTGTGCTTTCTGAAGATGGGAATTTAGTTATTTTCATGGAAATGGTAGTAGTGCCTATGGGTATACACTGGGTAAGCAGAACGGTGGCTGCTGAAGTAGATAAAATGTCTGCTGCAAATGTAGCTGTCTCAGCTATGGATGTCTTAAAAGAATTTGATGTGGTAGTTGTTTCCAGAGGTGGAGATGTTGCATTGGAACATGATATGGTTGTGTAATCAGTTGCGAATACAGGCATGCCTTTAGATATCACTGTAGAGGAATGTGAAGTCTTTTGTGTTTTTAGTCCAGTAATTTGTGATGGAGTTGTCAAATCTATTTGTTGTGAAAGAGCTGTACTTGTTTCTTGAATTGTCATATTTTCTGAAACAACTGAAAAATCAGAAAGCATGTGTTACTTTGGATGCAGCTTTAGAAATCAGAGAGAATTCTTTAAGAAAGAGTGCTATAATCTCCTTTCACTGTTTAAGATAAATAAGATAATCACTTGATTACTTGGTTTTTCTTAAGATGAATTTCCACTTTCTAAAATCTCTCTATGGTTCTCATAACAGCCTACTTAAGTAGCTAGTAGGAGGACATATATTCCATAGTATCTCCATAAGGATATAGGTATTCCTAAAAGAGGGATGCATGCTAGAATAGTGCACTGATTGAGAGGATTAGCTTTGGAAAAGGGACCAATTTCTTGAAAGACACAGCTATAAAGCTTACTCAAAAAGAAATGGATAATTTGAATAGTCCTATACTCATTAAAGAAATCGAATTATGTAGTTAAAAATCTTCCAAAAAAGAGGATCAGTTTTGGATTCAAATAAATGTAGTTTTGAATCCTGTCTGTATCACTTACTACTGATGTAACCTTGAACTAGTTACTTAACCTCTCTGTGTTTCAGTTTCCTCCTCTGTAATGTGAAGATTATTAAAACACCTACCTCATAAAACTGTTGTGAGACTTAAGTGAGTTAATGTGTGTAAACACTTATTATAGCACCTGGCACACAGTAAGTGCTCAAAAAATAGTTAACTTGGCCTTGACTTGATCAAATTTCTATCACTTCATAAAGGCTGCACCATTTTGCAGTCCTACCAAGAGTGTATGAGAGTTCCTTTTTCTCTGCAACCTCGTCAGCATTTATCATTCTCAATCTTTTGGATACTAGCCATCCTAACTGGAGTGAAAGGGTATCTCAAAGTGGTTTTGATTTGCATTGGTTCCTCAAACAATTTCAGATGATCTACCAAATGACCCAGCTATTCCACTGCTGGCAATATACCCAGAGGAATGGAAATCATCATGTCAAAGGGATACCTGTACTCCCATGTCTGTTGCAGCACTATTTACAATAGCCAAGAGTTGGAACCAGCCCAAATGTCCATCATCAGATGAGTGGATAAGGAAAATATGGTATATCTACATAATGGAACACTTCTCTGCTATAAAAAAGAATGAAAAACTACCATTTGCAGCAACATGGATGGACTTAGAAAAAATTATATTAAGTGAAATAAGTCAGGCACAGAAAGGGAAATACCATATGTTCTCAATTATTTGTGGGAGCTAAAAATCAATCAATCAATAAATATACAAGCAAATGGTGGGAGGGGCGGCTGGAAAGAAGACAATAATAATCACAACAATTCCTTGAATTTTTTAAGACAAGTGAACAGATATGATGTTGGGGGGGGAGGGGGAGAAGGAGGGGGAGAGAGGAATTGGTAAAGGGACATGAAAATCAACTACATTGTACACTGATAAATGAAAAGAAAAATAAAAATTAAAAAAAATTTCTATCACTCATTTAAACACTATAGACTGAAAGTATTTTTATCCAGAACCCCCAGAGGAAAATTTCTTGAATATGCACCACTTATGCATATATATTTATCAATGATGTATACATGTGTATATATTATGAATTTGTATTATGTACATTATAAACATGCACAAAAATAGAAATGTCAAAAGAATGTGATAAAAATAAATATGAATAGAAGTTACAATATTTTCTTTCTGCACTCTACTGTGTTATCCGTGTACCCTGTAGAATTACGTACCCTGCTCAAAGACCACTGGAGCCAAGCTTATGCCTCGATTTAATTAAATTTAACAAGTATTCTGAATACTATTCTAAGTCCTGTGAGAAATGCATAGAGTTGATGACATGATTCTTTCTCTCAAAAAGTTCACACTCTTACTGGAAAAGCCTTACATTACTGAAACATTTTTAAACACACGCAAAAAAATAATACTTTAAAAAAAATAAAATTACACAGTGAAATACTAATAGATTATAATGAAGTAAACAATGGAATATAATCAGGTTCCAAATGTCTCTAAAGTGCAATGGGAGTTCAATGCAGTGAGTGATCAACGCTGGCTTCAAGCTAACAAGAAAGCTTTCGCTTAGAAGATGCAAGCCCTTGAGAAATGATGGGGTTTGGGTAGAGAAGGCAAAGAGGCACACGGCAATGAATATGGAGGCAGTAAAAGATCAGTCTAACTGGGAGTGGGAGGAAGTGTACTGGATGGTGGTGAGAAAGAACATCAGACTAGGGATGGGACTGGGAGGGGGAGGGGGAGACAGAAGAGAAGATAATACAGTAGCTTCTATGTGTTGAGCACTTACTACAAGCCAAGCACTGTGCTATACGCTATCTCATTTAATCCACCTAACAACCTTACACAGCAAACATTACAATTATCCCCATTTTAGAGCTGAAGAAGTAGAGTGTCAGAAATTACATAAATTGCTCAAGTTCATATTTGAGATTCAAACTAAGATCTATCATTTGTGCTCTAAACCCCTACACCATTTGGAAGAGTGCAGATTTTTGAGCAGAGGAAGTGAGTTGATAAAAAGCAGGCTTTAAGGAAAATGAATTTCATGGCATTGTACAGGATGGGTAGGAATGGGAGGAAAGCGAAGGCAAAGAGACTCTTTAGGAGGCTGGTAGAGTCCTCCTCCTCCCTACTCCCTTTCCACCAACTCTGGCCAACCCAACTGTACATCTCCTCCGTTACTATACTTGAGCAGTCAAGCACTGCTGGATACATTCATACAAGAGGCTAAATTAGTATTTCCATAAATTCATAATCACCAACCTCAAATGAGCCCTTCACACTGCCCATCTGTCCTACTACTTTTCTCTGGTCAATTTATGCTCCCACTCTCCACAAAAACCTTCCCCCACTCTCAAACTACACTCTCACATATTTATAGATAACCATACCTCTTACTTCAACAGAAAAAATAATTGAAATTATTGGTCAAAACTCAACTGTGCTTTAGATTGTGCCACCTCTGTCTCCGACACCTTATATATCAGTTATCACCTCCTTTCCCTGACGAGCCTTTTCTTTCTTATTTAAGACATGTTCCAGTTCGTGCACTAAAAATAATAAAATAAAACCCCATATGCCTCTGCAGACTCTGCCCTATTCTTCTCCTCCCCATCACTTCCAAACTTTTTATAAGGAAGTTTATCTATACTGGCTGTCTTCCCCCTTTCCCCTCATTCTTTAGCCCACACTAATCTGGCTTCTTCCATCATCATTTAACTGAACGGCACTCACTAATGGCCACCAGTCGTCACCGCATAGACAAATATAATGAGTATTTCTTCAGTCCTCGTAGCATTTGACCTTTCAATAACTTTTGACAGTGTTCATTACTCCCTTCTTGAAACACTTTTCTTTTTTTATTTTAATGAACCGTAAACTTTCATTTGTCACAAACGTCATTGAATCATGTTTCTTATGTGTAGCCTCTTGTGTATCTCTGTGTAATCTTGAGCAATTTGTTGGTGTCAAACATTTTAATATCTTGAGACTGCCTTCTGGAAGCCTACAAGTTTTCTTTAGTAGTAGTAATAAATTAAAAATACTCTTTTCACTGGCTTCCATCACCCAACACTTTTGGGTTTTCTCCTTCTTCTCTGGCCACTCTTTTACAGATTCATCTTATTTCACCTAGCCAAGGCTTTGATGCAGCACCTATTCTCTTCTTACTCTATAGTTTCTCCACACCTAGAATTTCCATTTACACCTATACACAGATGAATCTCAAAGTTATTATCTCTATACCAGATCTCTATCCCGAGCTCCACAGTTATATAAGCAATTGCTTACTTGACATTATCTCTTGGATATCTCATTAACAACTCAAACTCAACATGCCCCAACTTGAACTCATGTATCTTTTCTTCAAACTGAGTCTTCTTTTGGTATTCCCTCACTGAATGGCACCACCTTACGTTCAATTATGCAAGCCAAACCCTCTCCCCCATCTCCTTCATTGTCTCTCTCACCTTCCATAGCAAACCCATGATCTTATCCTATGGATCTTATCTCCTAAATATCTCTTGACTCCATCAGTTTCTCTCCATCTCCATCATGTACCACCCCAACCAAGCCACAATTATTTGTCACTTGGACTACTGCAGTAGCCTCCCAACTGAACTCTCTGCCACTGCTCTTGGGCCCCCTACAATCTGTACCATAATGCAACCAGAATGATCTTTTTGAAATGCGAATATGATCATGCCACACACACACACATTCACATGCTCAGTTCGCTTTAGTGGCTTACTATTGTTCATAGGATAAAAACAAAAATTTTCTTAACTGTGCATACTTTGGTCTCTACCTACCTCTCCAGTCTCAATTTGTGCTAACCCCCCCCCCTTGTTTTCTGGGCTTCGGTCCACAGCCTCTTTTTAGTCCTCCAATACTTGGCATTCTCTTTCTGACCACAAGACCATTGCATGTGCTGTAACCTCTACACAGAATGTTCTTCCCACCCTTCTTTATCTGGTTAACTCCCCCTCATCCTTCAGGTCTTGGCTCATACATCACTTCCTCAGGGAAGCCTACCTTCCTTGACCTCCATGAGTGGCTCAAACCAATTTATTCTAGGCTCTTATGACACCTCATATCTCTTCTGTGACAAGAGTACTTGTCACAGTTGCAGTTTTACACTTGTTTGTATGTGCTTATTAATGTCTGTCTTTCTCACTAGATCATATTTGCGGGAACCTCATCTTTTGCTCACCATTGTATCCTCAGTGCCTAGCACAGTGCCTGGCACATGGCAGATGTTCAGTACCTATTTATAGTAGGCTAACTGAATGAGTGGAGATGATGAGGGCTTGGAATTAGGTGAGAGCAATGGGAAGATCCCTAACACTATAGCTATTGGAAAGGAAGAATTGATAGGATATGGTAATGAAAAGGTTTAAAAGAAAAGAAGACAGAGAAATCTCAAAGAACTCAAATTTTGCTTTTGGACAACTCAGAGAATAGTGCTGATATTCACAGAAATAGAAAAATTGGGAAGACAGCTTCACTCAGAAAAAAACTAACCAATTCA